GTATCGAAAAAATATCGAACCGAACCGTGAATTTTGTGTATCGTTGCACCCCTAATTTTCATATGTTTAATTAATTTCATCATCCCTCTGCAAATGCTATGTTTAGTTCACAGATTTTGTTTCACATGTCATTTGACGTAAATAGCTCACACGTAACTTAATGACATGACAAAGTTTTGTTTGACTCACTGCTAAATATGGAATAAATAACTGGCTGGTATGACAGATTCCACTTATATCTATCATAAGAATCCAGAATCCTCAAACTCAAAAAGCTAATTTGAATTCAACAATCATACATTTTACACCTGTGCTTTCTCTGGTCTGTCTGTCATGAGAAAAGTTAGTGCAGCTACATCAAAAGAAAGTCACCTTGTTTAGTTAGCTGTGTGAACTCACACACTTCCATAGTTAAGCTAATATTTCTAAATGTATAAACGCTAACGACTATGGCTACTCTCTGTATGATTACTACAATACGCAGTAAAAAAGCCAAGCGTGAAAGGCTATACACTTTTAATGGTAACCTCAGCTGTTACTATCTTGTCTACGTAGAGGAAATAGAGAGACCGCCAACCAATTTTCAGATGCAGCAGAAAGAAACATCTTCCTGCTGCATCTGGTACCGAAGCTAGCTAGCAAGCTAACAGTGACGAGCCTTTTTTCTGTTATTGAAGGTACAACCACACATTACACTGGGTTGGGTGTTTTTGTATTAAAATTATCATCTTCATTAGGGACAAAGTGAGCATCATGTGCAGTTAAAGGCATGGCAAGTTGCAAATTTTCCCGAAAATCAACTAACTAGCATGACAGTCAAAGTTCTGGTAATTGCAAAATTTGCTATGTTTGATTTGAAGCTCTATATAGTCAAAATACACCATACATGGTGTAGTACATAAAAAAAATCTACTGAAAGAAGTATCTGAATTGAAATACATCATGAATATTTATATAAAATTTGTGGAATAAATATTTTGAAAAAGAGTTGAAATCAGCTAAAATGAGTAAAATTTCCTGTTTGTTTGAACTAGTTGTGCTGTATTAGTTATAGATTATTGTGATAGATCAGCTGTTTTTCATGGAGTTTTAAGTCACTCTTTTTAATTAATGTCTTTGCTGTGCTTAGCTGTGCTTTCTACGTTCTTTGTAAGTGAAAGTAAATGTGAACACACCAAAGATAGGAATGCTATTATTTTATCACTGCTAAGAAAACGTGGCTGCACAGCTACGATAGGTAGAGTACAAGAGGTCAAACCCAGGCAGCAAAATTGTAATGAGAAGTGAATTAGGTCTGATTTTACAGTTAATTTGAAGTTGGCTAACACTTCTGCTTTATGTTCTTACTGTCATAAGCCCAGAAGTGCAATTTCTGATCATTATCACAGCTAATGATCAGGAATGAGATCCAGTGTAAAAAGTAAATAAATAAAAGGATTTTTTATGTTATTCTTTTCTACAGTGTGTATCATTTAACCATCTCACCTTAAACAAACTTTGCACTGTCTTTAACACATCCATCTACAGATGTCCACTACCTGCCATATTCGGTTAACCACACTTGGCCATACAGAGGGAACACTGTCTAGGAACTAGCCGAGGAGACAAGGATGGGTGATTACAGTCTGTCCTTACCATGAATGTCAGCTGCAGTAAATGAAAGTAGGCCAATGCAGGGGCCAGGCTGAGGACACAGCAGATGGAAGTGTGTCTTTAGGATGTTTAAGAAAGCTCCCAGATGTGACATTAGCTCGAAAAACAAACCAACAAATCAGCAGAGGTTGAATAAGCTGTAACTTTTATTGCACATTCCTGTTTGGTCTTGCAATGACCTTTCACCTTTTTGAACTTGTAAGACCTCGGTCTGGACTAAACACTCAAGTCAGAAGTGGGACGAAGTGACCCAGGGTAACTCATCACAGGTCAGATTCCCTTAAGAAGTTTGATTTGAAGCATAGGGAGGTCACACTGAGCTCCGATCTGTGACTCGTGGGACTTCAGATGTTTGTGTTGACTGCATTACCCACAAACCAAATCGCTGTTTAGAGAGCAGGATCAATGGGGAAAGGGACAGTAGTGACATCATGGAGGGCACCAGAAAGTATTCAAGGGAGCACCATGTCACTTTCTTGACTCCACTTTGACACACTCCCAAAAATACTCCCTTTATAATCTTGAGGCTTCACTGCCCTCTGTCCTTCTTTGCTGCCTGTACCCGCCCTCCACCCCAGCCCCCTCCCCAAATCTCTGATCACACAAATACATAGGCTATCATTCTTAGTAGGGTTTTTTTTCTTCTCGTTTTCTTGTGACAGTACCTGCAACATGCTTCAAATCTTCATTTTGGCAAACCACAAATAAATTAAAATACAAACATTCATATAACACAATGTGACATTTTTAGGACGCTTAGAAAGAAAAGAAAAATACATACAGTACAGAACCAAAAAGAGAGAGAAAATATATACCAAGAAAAGAGAAGCATTTGCATTTTTTTGTTTTTTTCCCCATATTTTTCTCACTTTTCTTGAAAAAAAAAGAGATACAGTAGCTAGCTACCAATCACATCACATGCAGATATATTACAACATAATCAGTTCACCCAGTTAGTGTCTGCAAACTACCGATCTAAACTATATCACAAAAGTATTCTCTTGAAACCAGCAAACACTCAGCTGTTTGAGATATTTTGTCATAATAATTCAGTTTACAGTTTTCTCTGCTGACAAAGCCGAGAGATCACTATACGACCGACCCTGAAATGACTAGCCAAATTCAAAAGAGGACTAACGCGCTTTCGTACATGATCACATACCAGATGGTGATGTTTCTGTTTCTTTATTATTTTTTTCATGATGGGAGTGTGACACACATATGTGCTCACACGTGCACTCAAACCCAGACTTGCTGTCGACCGCGACTCGAAGGGAGCGTCGGGACGAGATATGACCTGATCCGAATGCGGCACGCTGGCTCTGCGATTTTTGAAAATCCCATGGTCGAGGACCGCTGAGCTGGGAGCTGGCTCCAGTACCCCTCACCTGCCTGCCTGCCTTCACCTTGCCAAACCCCCATCCCTCCAAAAATTAAGGCAGGAGAAGAAAGTGACAAAATGTCAGAGCCGAGCGGTAGCTCTGACATCGTCCATCCGTGTGCGCTCGCGGTCTCCTCTAATGACGCTCTGCTGAAATGTCAGACCAATTAGCAGCCTTCCCTCTGACATTTAACTGGCGGCAAGCAAAACAAACAGAGCTCACTGGACAGAATGGAGAGATAGCTAGTCTGCGGCTAGCGGGCCCCCTCGGCTGATTGAGACCGACGCTGTTGCAGCCGTACAGTTAACAGTAGATATATACTAAAGGTTGGAGCTCTATGCCTCTTAAGTAATCGCGGCCGTCTTCGGACATTTTCAATCCAGCTGACATTTCCAAGAAGCAGGCGGCGGTGATCAAAGCTCTCGCGATTGCCTCCCACCCCTCTGTTCTCCTGCCTTCGGTCTCTTGCTTTCAGCAGACATCAATCCGGCCCTGAAGCGCACTCAATTTAAAGCACCACCCCAGCACGCCATCCTGTCTGTCTTCATTTCTAGGTGTTACCGCCGAAGGCCGCAGGTGTACGCTCCAAGTGTGTGAGCTGTGCAAAACGTCTGGGCGAGGCAAAGCGTATTTTCTGCCGACCTTTTCTCCATCGCGTGCATCCAATAGAGAGGCGAGGCTGTGTGCGCGCAGATATTTGGTCACAGCTACACGCGTGTTTTACGCTAATAACAATCGGGAGCTGACATCGACGGCGGGACAAGAAGGCAGGTAATTTAGCAAAAAGCCAGCACTCCCTTCAAGTCTTAGTGTCATTCACAGTAAATCATATTTTTCTCTGTTAAGTGTTGTCTCCCTTACTCACACGCGCACACATACACACGCACTGAGGCCTAGCCTTCAGCTGTACCATCTGGTATCTAAATCGCGAGAATTATAGTCTTCATTCCTCTCCTACACACACACACACACACTAACAAGAACATGAGAGAGAGAGGTGACTGAGTGTCATTCTATTTATCATACATACAGTAGTTACTGCATAAAGCAGCATGTGACTCTTTTTCTCCATTAAAAATCAATATCCATCTACGCAACAGTGAGCTCTAAATTTAGCCACAAGAGATGGAGAGAAGGAAACAAAGCGAGCTAAAGAAAGAAACAGATAGAGAGAGCGAGAGAGAAAGAGAGAGCACAGCTCCATGTAAATTACAATCTTCATGTTGCGTTGAACTGTGAGCAACGGCACAGTCAAAAGAAAGGGGAAATGAAGGTGCGAATGAGTGGGTTTAAACGTCAGTGCGCTGCCCTTCTATAAAACATTAACAGCTTCATTTATATGTAAATGACCCGACAGCTACAGAGAGAGAGAGATGGCGGGACGTAATGCCAGTTCAAGAGAAGAAAGGAATGAGGGATGGAAAAGGGAGGGGAGAATGGGGGCGGGATTGCATGGACAGGAGAGGGAGATGAGTCTCCTTCATTCAGTAGTCTTTCACATGGGTGGAAAAGTCCACACTGTCCGATTTGTCCCACTGCACATGCATGCGTGTGCATTTCAAAAAAGAACAAAAAATCCACCCACAGTAGAGCACACTCCGATGCACGTGCACACACTCCCAGCGGATGTCCAATGCAGCGACATACACATACACACACCCACCTACCCACCCACACACTCGCAAGCAAACACTGCCCTCTCAGGTCTTTCCTAAACAGGGGAAAGAATCCCTGGGTGAGAGGGAGGTGAAGCAAAAGTTGTTTTCTAGGTGTAGGTGGAGTGACGGTGATGACTGGATGTCAGCTCTTCTGGAGATGGTGATCAAAATCCAAAATAACAAAAAATAATTAAATAACACATAAAACCAGAAAAATCAAATAAAATCTTGAGTGAAACAGCAAAAGGTGAAAATGAGAGATTGTTGAGTTAGCGTGGTGTGTCGTTTTGCGTGTCGGGGCTAGCTGGGTTTGTCCGGCTAGCGCGGGGGTCGGAGGGACGGTGCCGGGGCATTCAGCCGTCAGAGACGGGCGGAGACACCCAGCCGTACTTCTCGTGGGTCTTCACCAGGGATTTGAAGGTAGCCTCGGCTTCCTTGCGGCTGAAAGCTTTCTTAGATTTTCCGGCTTTCCTACATATACGGCCCTGCGACAGATAAAGAAACAAAGGGAAAGGAAAGGGTGGGGGGACAAGGTTAGCTCCATGTGTAAAAGATTAGTAAAATACAGAAGCAATTAAACAGCCGACTAATGAGGAGTCTGATCACATGACGTTTGTCGTTTCAGGCATGATGGACACAGACATTAGTTTTGTGTAATTTAATTTCAATGAGCGACACAATGATAGTGGTGTAGCAAAACTTTAAATTGTCTTGGTATTAGAGCTGGGGAAAAAAAATAACTTAATATAGCATAATAACAGTTTTTTGTGTGGCTATTTTGTATACTGAGACACCAAATATCGACATTTTAATAAATAAATGAAAATATGCTGGGAACACTACTAACAAGGGCTCATGTCGTGCACCAAATTTAAATAAAATTAACCGAAAAAGCGTCCAAACTGGACACACTTAGCTTAAACATTACCTCCTAGTTTAGAGCTAATTGGTCAGTCACACAAGTAAAACAGGAAAGCAACATTATTGGAAAAAACAAACCAAACAAAAACCAAAAATAGCAAACCGGTGGCTACTGGTGATTTTATTGAACATTTTCACATTTTGGTATGAGTTGCAGCTTCAAGTAAATGGTTGCCTAGAGCTTGAGGGTGTTGCACACTTATGACCACTTGTGATCTCAGGCGATTGCAGAGGTCATCTGATTGGAAACAACCATTCTGCAATCAGTTGACTTGGAGTGACTGCAATTACCCTCTGAGAGACTGTCAACAGTTTGCAAATATTTGCTGTCTGATTTTAAAATGCAGATAGCCAACATGTTGCCATCAGTCTGAATGAGTCTTTGTCAATAAGCACAACCGAGGGGACTTGAGTAGCTTTTACCTCACTGTATTCTGTCTATATTCCTATAGAACAGATGGTTGTTCGGTGCAAACGTAACAAGTCCATGTGTAACAGGGTCATAAATCACATTGTTATAATTAC